TATAACAATACAGTTCAATACTGAAAACAGCTATGACTTACATAATACTGTATTCCAGGTGCTACTCTATGAGATTTAAACGTATTCATCAGTTGAACTTTTATAAGGAATTTCCAGGTCATCTGTTCCACCACCATACTGTGAGAGAGAGAGGATAGACATGTATTTGTGTGAACCCCAAGAGGGCCTAGGTATTTACACCCGTCTGCTATTCAATCCCATTAGCTCTGGGATGAAGTTCTGTGTTGATCCTTTAAAAAAGGAGGCAGCTCTTTTCCAAGATTTGAGACATATGGAACAAACAATTTGGCTATCTGGAAAAAAAAAAACACAAATCCTTGAAGTAGGAGATTCATATTTCATAAGTGCAAACATGCAAATCTCTGTTAAAAGTCCTGGAATAGTCCTCATAAGTTTATTAATATTTATTTCCATAGTAGCTAAAATAATGACATGGTTACTGGAAGAGAAATTATGCCCCAAAGAGTCACCAAGAACTTCCATGCTGCTACATTCAGTGGCCAAGTTTTTGTTCTCATCTCCCCTGACCTAGCAGCAGCATCCAACAAAGTTGGCCTTTCCTTTTTTTTCCCCTTTGGCTTCTGTGACCAATTTTGGTTTTCGTCCTGCCTTCTTGGCTGTTCTTTCATTGTCCTCTTTGCTGACTCCACTCTCTACCTGACCTTTAAATGTTAAATTTCTCAGGTCTCTAATCCTTGGTTCTCAACTCCTCATTCTGTACGCTCTCCCTTGGTGATTTCAACCCCACTCCTGTCTTCAATTACCATAAACTTGCCAAAATTTATACATCTAACCCCTACTGCCATTCTTAGCCCAGAACTGTTTATCTAAAGCATATCTCACATCTCTATTTATTTCTCTCACAGGTACTTCAAGGTCAATTATGTCCACAACTGAACTCTTAATCTTGCCCTGATATCCTGTTGCTCCTGACAGAAATTTGGTTCTCACTTGGACACCACCTTCTTTTTCAACATATCCCCATTCAATCTGTCACCAACAATCTTCCTCATTATTTTTCAAATCTGTCCACAGTCCCCGAGCCCCCACCTCCACTGCCACTACTGTAGCCTAATCCTTTGGGATGAAATTCAAAATCATTACTCAGCAGCCTGCAGAATCTGTCCATTGCACACCTCTGCAACCTCAGTTTGTGCCCACATCTCTCTTGTTCTCTGACAGGGTTTTGCTCGGTTTCTCAAACATTTCAGCTTTCTTCTCACTTCAATTCTTTGTCTCCTGTCGCCTGTTCCTGAAAAGCTACTTCTCCAGTATTTTGCTTGGATAGCTCTTTTTCATCTTCCAGGCTTGCGGCGGTGGCGGGTGCGGGGCGGGGCGCGGGAACGAGGGGGGTGGGGAATGGGGAGTGGGTAGATGGGGGGCGGGGGATGGGAGTGGAGGGTGTGGGGGGTAGGGAGTGGGGGTTGGAGGGGCTAAGGGCACTTCCTCAGGCAGCCTTTCCTAGCCCTGGGCTAGGTTAGCTTTCATTCGAGTGCTGTCATTCCATCTCCTTTTGGCACACTGTTAAATATAGCTTTGAGATGATCTGTTTAACTGTAAGCTCCTTGGAGTTTTGTGTCTGCCCTTGTTTTCTAGGGTTTCCAGCTTGTAGCTCCGTGCCTGGCTCATAATAGGTGTTCCATAAATGCTTGTTGAATGAAAGAATGATGATGGAGGTGGCATTCTAACTCGGGACTGCCTCAGAGCCCGGCGCTTTCTCCTCTGCCACTCTGTTACTGTGTTTTAGAGGCAGATAGTGAGTGCGGCACAGTGCCCAGGGCGAGCGGCTGGATTGAGCTTTAAGCCGTCTTGGGAAGATGAGGACGCGGTGGGTCTGAGCCGCCGAGGGGCCGGGCGCCGCCTGGGGGCGCTGCAGCCCCGGCGGGACGCCCAGTCGCCCGCAGGCTCCGCCCCAGGAGAGGCCCCGCCACCCCAAGGCCCGGAGGACCAACCGCCTCGACCCGCGCCGGGCGGCGGCTGTGTTGGCTGGTGAGGCCGGGAGGGCCGGGCCACCACGGTGAGGCTTACCGCCCGGAAACTTCCTCTCAGTTTTTTCCGGTGCGCCTCGGCTCGCCCATGCGGGGGCCTTGAGGGCGGATTCAAGGCCCTGCGAGAAGCCATCTAAGGCGGCGACGACTGTTCTCAGTGCCACAGGAACGGCGCGGACGCAGCAGCTTTCCTCTCCTGGACGGGAAAACAGTCATTCTAGAGTAGGTTCCTCTCTTTTCCTTGTTCTTTCCCCTTTCCCGTGCCCATGGCAGACCCGAGCTGCTTGTGGACGTGGGTCTGGGGACTGAGTATGGACAGGCGTGGGCTCTGTTTCTGAAAGGCGTGAAACCTCAGACAAGTCCTGCAACCTCCTGGTCTCTGTTTCTGCGTCTATAAAGTGGGCACAGCAAGGTCTGACTCACTCACCTGAGGTCTCAAGTGTGGCGCCCAAACCAGCAATATCAGCATTTCCTGTAACTTTACCAAAATGCATATTCTCTGGCCCACTCCAGCTGATTGAATCAGAAACTCAGTGGTGGGATTCAGCCATTTGTATTTGAACAAGCCCCAGCTGATTTTGATACAAGCTAAATTTTGAGAACCACTATATAAGAGACCAGTAAGATGAAATAAATAAAACTATTACGTAGTAGAGAGTGTGGAATATAGTAGATGCTCAATAAATAGTAGTCATTGTTATTATTATTTATTCCAGAATAGAGACACATTCAGTGACACAGAAATCGAAGTTTAAGCAAATGCACAGATGCTTCTTTTCTTTTCCTTCTTTTCTCCCTCCCTCCCCTCCCTCCCTTCCTCCCTCCCTTGTTTCTCTTACTCTCACCCCTCCCTCCCTTCCTCCCTCCCTCCTTTGTTTCTCTCTCTCTCACCCCTCCCCACCTCCTTCCCTTCCTCCTTCCCTTCCTTTCCTTTCTTTCTTTTCCTTTTCTTTCCGGAATTTCACTCTTATTGCCCAGGCTGGAGTGCAATGGCGATCTCGGCTCACCACAACCTCCGCCTCCCAGGTTCAGGCAATTCTCCTGCCTCAGCCTCTCGAGTAGCTGGGATTACAGGCACCTGCCACCATGCCCAGCTAATTTTATTTATTATTTATTTATTTATTTATTTTTTAATAGAGACGGGGTTTCTCCATGTTGGTCAAGCTGGAATCAAACTCCCGACCTCAGGTCATCTGCCCGCCGCAGCCTCCCAAAGTGCTGGGATTACAGGCATGAGCCACCATGCCTGGCTCTTTCGTTTTCTTTTAAGCGGTCATTATAGTCTTGCTTTAAAAAAAAAAAAAAAGAAAAGAAAAAAGAAAGAAAACAAAATAAATATCCATATGGCTTGGATATTTACCCACTCCAAATCTCATGTTAAAATATATTCACCAATGTTGGAGGTAAGGCTTGGTGGGAGCTGTTTGGATCATGCGGATGGATCCCTCATGAACGGCTTGATGCTTTCCTGGCAGAGTGAACTCTGCCTCTGAGCTCATGAAAGATCTGGTTAAGAATGGGCATTTTCTCTTTCTCTCCATTGCTCCCTCTGTTACCATGTGACACGCTGGCTCCCCTTCGCATTCCACAATAATTGTAAGCTTGGTCTCACCAGAAGCTGAGCAGTTGCTGGTGCCACGTGTATACAGCCTGCAGAACCAGGAGCCAAATTTCTTTATAAATTTTGCAGTCTTCAAGTATTCCTTTATAGCAACCAAACACACGAACACAAACATATACAAAAGAAAGCCTCTCCAACAACAACAAAATAGGTACGTAACAGTAGCTTCTCACACATAAACTTAACGTTTCTGACATACATCTTCTTTTGACTTCTTTGAAAAGCAGAACATGGTTAATGTTAAAGGTTTTATAATTCTTATTATTTAATTCAAATTTCAGCTTTCATATACTGCAGTTATTTTTAATTTGAACAATGTAATGGTTGACTATGAAAAATTAACCTTATATAGGTGAAAAGTACAGATTTATTTCTAGAGAAATCTAGCTTCACTACCATGTCAGATTTTATTGATGATCTTTTCCTCTTTATTCACTGCAGAAACTTCAAAAAGGACACACTAGATTTAATTAGTAATGTCAAGATTGCCCAAAAAAGGAATACCTAGACTTGATCAAGTTCAAGATGAAGAAACCTTCCTGGAAAATTTAGCAATACAAAGAAATGCATCTGCTTTTTTTGAAAAATATGATCGAAGTGAAATACAGGAGTTACTAACTACTGCACTGGTTAGCTGGTTGTCTACCAAAGAGGATGGTCGCTCTCAAGTAGACATGCCATGTGGAATTATGAGTCAAATGAATAACGTAGGCTTCTCCACTGCAATCCTACTGACTCCTGTGGACCCTACTGCCCTCTTAGACTATAGAGAAGTCCATCAGATGATAAGAGAGTTGGCAATTGGAATTTATTGCTTAAATCAAATCCCTTCCATCAGTTTAGAAGCTAATTATGATCAGAGTTCTTCTTGTCAATTACCTCCAGCTTATTATGATACTAGAATTGGGCAAATTCTGATCAACATTGACTATATGCTGAAAGCACTATGGCATGGAATATACATGCCCAAAGAAAAACGAGCTAGATTCTCTGAATTGTGGCGTACCATCCTGGATATTGATCCTGATGGAAAGCCTCAAACAAATAAAGACATTTTTACAGAGTTTAGTTCAGCAGGTAAGAGAATTTAACACTTCTTAAGTTTTTTTGTTTTTTTTTTTTTGAGATGGGATCTTACCATGTTGACCAAGATTGTCTTGAACTCCTGAGCTTGAGCCGTTTACCCACCTAGGCCTCGGAAAGGGCTGGGATTACAGGTATGAGCCACTGTGCCTGGCCACTTCTTAATTATTTTTATTCAAAATCATTTAAAAATTTTTTAAATTTTATTTTGATAGTTTTGGGGAAGCAGATGATTTTTGGTTATATGGCTAAGCTCTTTAGTGGTGATTTCAGAGATTTTGATGCACCTGTCACCCAAGCAGTGTACACTGTACCCCATGTGTAGTCTTTTATTCCTCACCCTCCTCCCACCAGAGTCCCCAAAGTTGATTATATCATTCTTATGCCTTTGCATCCTCATAGCTTAGCTCCCACTTATAAGGGAGAACATACAGTATTTGGCTTGCCATTCCTCAGTTACTTCACTTAGAATAATGGTCTCCAGCTCCATCCAGGTTGCTGTGAATGCCATTATTTCATTCATTTTTATGGCTGAGTAATATTCCCTGGGGTGTGTTTGTGTGTGTGTGTGTGTGTGTGTGTGTGTGTGTGTATCACATTTTCTTTTCTTTTTAGAGATGAGGGTCTCCCTTTGTTGAACAGGCTGGTCTCAAAATCCTGGCCTCAAATGATCCTCCCATCTTGGCCTCCCAAAGTGCTAGGATTATAGACATGAGCCACTGCACACAGCCACCACATTTTCTTTATCTACTTGTTGGTTGATGGGCATTTAGGCTGGTTTCATATTTTTGCAATTGTGAATTATGCTGCTATAAACATGCATGTGCAAGTGTCTTTTTCATATAGTGACTTCTTTACCTCTGGGTAGATACCTGGTACTGGTATTGCTGTATCAATCTACCTTTAGTTCATTAAGGAATCTCCATACTGTTTTCCATAGTGGTTGTACTAGTTTACATTACAATCCCACCAGCAATGTAAGTATTCCCTTTTTACCACATCCATGCCAACATCTATTATTTTTTTTATTTTTAAATTATGATCATTCTTACAGGAGTAAGATGGTATCTCAGTGTGGTTTTGATTTGCATTTCTCTGATAATTAGCGATGTTGAGCATTTTGCATATGTTTGTTGGCCTATTGTATATCTTTTTTTGAGAATCATCTATTCATGTCTTATGCCCACTTATTGATGGGATTTTTTTTCTTGTGATTTGAGTTTCTTGTAGATTCTGAATATTAGTCCTTTGTTGAAAGCATAGTGTGCAAATATTTTCTCCCACTCTGTGGGTTGTCTGTTTTCTAATTTTTTTTTCTGTTTAGAAGCTTTTTAGTTTAATTAGGTCTCATCTGTTTATGTTTGTTTTTGTTGCATTTGCTTTTGGGTTCTTGGTCATGAACTGTTTGCCTAAGCCAATGTCTAGAAGGGTTTGTTCAAGTTCTTTTCTAGAATTTTTATGGTTTCAGGTGGTCTTAGATTTAAGTATTTAATCCATCTTGAGTTGATTTTTGTATAAGGTGAGAGATGAGGATCCAGCTTCATGTGGCTTGCCCATTATCCCAGCACCATTTGTTGAATAAGGGTGCCATTTCCCCACTTTATGTTTGTGTTTGCTTTAGTCAAAGATCAATTGGCCATAAGTACTTGGTTTTATTTTCAGATTCTCTATTCTGGCCCATTGATCTGTGTGCCCATTTTTATACTAGTACCACATTGTTTTCATAACTATAGCCTTGTAGTATAGATTGAAGTCAGGTAATGTGATGCCTCCAGATTTGTTCTTTTTGCTTAGTCTTGCTTTAGCTATGTGGGCTCTTTTTGGTTTCATATGACTTTTAGGATTGTTTTTTCTAGTTCTGTGAAGAATGATGATAGTATTTTGATGAGAATTGCATTGAATCTGTAGATTGCTTTTGGCATTATGATCATTTTTACAATATTGATTCTACCCATCTATGAACATTGGATGTGTTTCCATTTGTTTATGTCATTAATGATTTATATCAGCTGTGGTTTGTAGTTTTCCTGGTAAAAATAGTTTACCTCCTTGTCTAGGTATATTCGTAAGTATTGAATTGTATTGTATTGTATCGTACTGTATTGTATTGTATTGTATTGTATTGTATTGTATTGTATTGTATTTTTTGCAGCTATTGTAAAAAGGATTGAGTTCTTGATTTGAGTCTCAGCTTGGTTGTTGTTGGTGTACAGCAGTGCTACTGATTTGTGTTCATTTATTTTGTATCCTGAAACTTTACTGAATTCCTTTGTCGGATCTAGGAGGTTTTTTGGATGAATCTTTAGAGTTTTCTAGGCAAATGATATTATCACTGGCAAACAGCCACAGTTTGACTTCCTCTTTACCAATCTGGATCCCCATAATTTATTTCTTTTGTCTGATTGCTCTAGCTAGGACTTCCAGTACTATGTTGAATAGAAGTGGTGAGAGTGGGCATGCTTGCCTTGCTCCAGTTCCCAGGGGAAATGCTTTCAACTTTTTCCTGTTCAGTATAATGTTGAGGGCTTTATTACCTGTCCCTTCTATGCCCATTTTGCTAAGGGTTTTAATCATAAAGCAAGGCTGGATTTTGTCAAATGCTTTTTCTGCATCTATTGAGATGATTTTTGTTTTAAATTCTGTCTATATGATATATCACATTTATTGACTTGCATATGTTAAACCATCCCTGCATCCCTGGTGTGAAACCCACTTGATCATGGTATGTTATCATTTTTGATATGCTATCAAATTCTGTTAGTATTTTGTTGAGGATTTTTGCAACCATGTTCATCATGGATATTGGTCTGTAGTTTTCTTTTTTTGTGTGTGATTTTTTTTCCTTGTTTGGGTGTTAGGGTGATACTGGCTTCATTGGATGATGTGGGGAGGATTTTCTCTTTATCTTTTGGAATAGTTTCAGTAAGATTGGTACCAGTTCTTCTTTGAATGTCTGATAGAATGCAGCTGTGAATCCGTCTGGTCCTGGACTTTTTCATTGTTGGCAATTTTTTATTGTTTCAATATCTCTACTTGTTATTGGTCTGTTCAGAGTTTCTATTTCTTCCTGACTGAATCTAAGAAGGTTGTATATTTCCAACAATTTGTCCATCTCCTCTAGATTTTCTAGTTTATGCATGTAAAGGTGTGTATAGCAGCCTTGAATGATCTTTTGTATTTCTGTGGTAAATGGGAGTCGTAATAACTCCTGTTTCATTTCTAGTTGTGCTTACTTGGATCTTTTATCTTCTTTTCTTGGTTAATCTAGCTAATGGTGTACCAATTTTATCTCTTCAAAAAACCAGCTTTTTGTTTTATTTATCTTTCATGTTGTTTTCTTGTTTCAATTTCATTTAGTTCTACTCTAATCTTTGTTATTTCTTTTCTTCTGCTTGGTTTGGGTTTGGTTTGCCCTTGTTTCTCTAGTTCCTTGAAGTATGACCTTAGATTGTCTATTTGTGTTCTTTCAGACTTTTTAATGTAGGCATTTAATGCTACCAACTTTCCTCTTAGCTCCACTTTTGTTGTATCCCAAAGGTTTTAATATCACTATTATCGTTCAGTTCAAAGATTTTTAAATTTCCATCTTGGTTGAGATGGAAGTGGGACTGATGAGCCATCATCCTGAATGGGAATATGCCAAACTGGTAAAGAAACAATGGGCTTTTTTTAGATTCAGTTATCTAGATGGAAACTTTCAGTATAGAAGTAAAATTCTAGAAAGTGGTAAAGGTTAGAGATACACATTGATTAATCATCTGCATGTTAAAACCATGACAGCCTTTGGATCATCCAGTGAGAGCACCAATAGCAACCTGGTCATGGCAGAAAGTGTAACTAAGGGAAGAGGGCTCCTGCTTACTTGATGACAAAGTTAGTTACATCAAGCAATGTTATGGCCAAAGGGTCCAGGTCCCTTTCTTAGAGTCTAACTGTTGGTCCTATAGGATCTCACAGTGATGCTCCAGGTGTGGTGCTTGATGGGGGACCTGTGCCTATTCCTGCTACTGCCACTGTGAGTTTCCCCCTATAAACTATTTCAATAGGTCTAGTATGTATGCTGGTGATCATTTACCATTCCTTGCACTACACATTGTTGAAATTTCTGAAGCTGACAGCCAATGTGGAGTGGAGGGAGATAAAAATATCTCTCCTAGGTGTAATGCTCATCTTTTTTTCTTGTTTTTATTTTTTGTTTTTTATCTTTTGTTTTTCTCTAAGAGATGGGGGTCTCACTGTTTCCCAGGCTGCAGAGTGGTGGTTATTCACAGGTGCAAACATAGCACACTACAGCCTTGAACTGGCCTCAAGTAATTCTCCTGCATCAGCCTCCTGAGTAGATGGGAATAAAGACACATTCCACCATGCATAGTTTTGATGTTCATCTTTTATTGCCCAGCAGCCAACAGTATGAAGCACTTTATTGTAAACACACCCAGCACTATCCTCAGGCACATGATAGTAGAACGACTGGATTTGGTGAGGTTCCCAGCCTTATTTATAAACAACTTTAAAAAGATTTGAGGCAGAGAGCAGCCAGAATGCTGTTGCAGTGGAAAAGGGTGTTCTGTATTATAGTGTTGCAGTAGAGATAAGTCAAAGTAGATGATTTTGAGAGATATTTTAAAAGTAGAATGACAAAACTCAAGACATAAGTTTCATACCAGGAAAGTACTGATTTTGGCTGATATGCATCAATAACACCACATTGTTAAAATATTGAACACTTCAATTGGCAAATTGAAATACTGCAGCCCCAAGCTCATTGAATGCCTCCCTCTCCAGGGATCCCCTGAAAAACTCCGTGATCCAGAAAAGGGTAAATATGGCAAGCAGGAGGTATCTGAGATCCTGCTTCAGCACTATGGCTAACGTCTATTCTGATTGGTCAGTGTCAATGCTATGCTTGTGGTTAAGTGTTTTGAGAATCACCCTTGAAAATGTAGGTGTAGAAGAGACAGCATTACTCTTTTGATGCTTTCCCTTTCCACCTACAACTTGATTAGAATCTTCTTATGTATCTCTAATCCCCTTTCCAGGAACACCACTGCAAGGGAATCCTCATAGAGGGTGGCCCTCAGATATGACAGACAGCTGGTGAAATAGACCAGATCCTGGGCCATGACATTGCTTGATGTAACTAACTTTGTCATCAAGTAAGCAGGAGTCTAACAGCAGTGGCAGAGTAAGACTCAGGACAAAAATAAGTATCCTGTGGTGCACTTGAGGCAAGGTGCAGTCAGGTCAAGGCTGTATGGAGCAAAAACTACAGTTTAAAAATGTGGTCTAAAAGGATGTGAGGTAAGGAACAAAAGGTGTCTTGTACACAGTGTGAC